TATTTTATATAATTAGAACACTGGAGCAAAACAGCTGAAGACCCACCTATGGGATGACCACTAATGGGCAACTGTAGGGAGCTATGTGGAATCATAGAAGGAGCACTGGACCGAATGTCAGGAGGGAAGGCTGGCTTCCAGGGCTCTCTCTGTACCTAACCAGGACTCAGGGCAACTCGATTCACCTTTCTAGACCTCAATATTCCTCTTTGCTAAATTGTGATTGTGGGGTAGTAGGGACTGAATGTTTGTGTCCCTTCCCCACAAATTCATATGTTGAAGCCTTAACCCCCAGTGTGACTGTATTTGGAGATAGGGCCTGCAAGAAGGTGGTAAAGGTTAAATGAGTCAGTAAGGGTAGAGCCCTAATGAGAGGAAGTGACTCCAGAGCTCTTTCTCCTTGCATATGAGAACACAGTGAGAAGCTGGCCATCTACAAGCCCAGAAGAGAGCTTTCATCAGAAACCGACCATACCAGCACCTTGATCTTGGACCTCCCAGCCTCCAGAACTAAGAGAAATGTCTGTTGTTTAAGCCATCCAGTCTATGATAGTTCATATGGTGGGCATAACAGACCAATACAGTGGTTAGGACTCGCTAATTAAAAATGGCATAATGATTTACAGTTTATAAAGTACTTTTACAGATTTTATCCTCTCAGGAAAAACTCTAGGAGATGGTAAGAGCAGAATATTATTTTACAAAAAGAAATACCTCAGACTGATTCAAGATCACAAGGGCACTGAGTAGAATTTAGTCAAACTACAAATCTGGGTCTTAAAAGGCACCGCTGGGTATAAATGGCTGTGGTTTTCTTGTTTTCAAACATTTTGTTGGATGTCTATGAATTCCAGTTTTTAGATTTCCAGGTAATGCTTAGTTGAAGAATGTCGAATTTATCACAAGTCAGGTATATTTTTTTCCCTTCAGAACTACAATAATTGTTTCCTTTGACCCAGTGGTTCTCAAAATGTGACCTAGGACCAGCAGTGGGAGCTAAGGACTTAGAAATGCAAATTCTCGGGCCCTACCCCTGACCTATAGAATCAGAAATTCTGGGGGTGGCCCCCCCCCCGCCCTTAACCTATGTTCTGACAAGCCCTCCAGGGGATTCTGAGGCTGCTAGGATTTGAGAACCACTGCTCTGATCTCTGTACACTTGTTCCCCTTGTAACTGGCTGACATTTGACATTTCCCCACCTTACTGCACTGGAGGATATGCAGCTGCAACTCTGCGTCCTATAACCAACTGGATTCATGACATACTGTTAAAACCACTTTTGAAATGTTTGAACCTGTGAGTGTATCCTTGATCTAATTATAATATTCCATAATTTTGTGTTACCCTTTGTTAACATACATCCGTTAAGCTAACTTGGAATTTGAAAACATTTTAGAAGAAAGGTCATCTTGGTCCAGCATATCATAACTTGATACTAAGTTGACTCTATTCTAATTAAAAATAGTAATTTAAAATAGAATGAATTTATTATTTAAAGTAGAAAATGTTTTTAATCCCTTACTCAAGGTACTTGACCATCTACTCCCTGACTCCCATCCTTAAAATCTCAGTAACTTCGAAAAGAAATTCATTTGTACATGAAATCTATTCCTAAACAATATCCACCCCTCCCTCCAATCAGGAAAGAACATTTTAATGAATAATAAAAATGATCTGAAATATATATTTAAAATTTCTCTTTTAATATTTGTTCTGGAAAGCCAAACACACAATTTATTAATTATATACATGTGTTATAATTATATAACATATTCTATAAATAATGAAATATATATATATTGTGTCAAACGTCTGGGGTTTAGAGGCATTAAGATTTTAATCTAATATGCTTCCTTTGATAGCTTTCCTATGCTTGAAGTTTGAAAACTCTAGGGATTTCTGGTGGAAAATATGGACTCCAATGCCAATGTCATACATCTATATTTAAATGACTATATATGGGTGTGTATATGTGTGATTATACCTGGCACCTGTTACTTTAGGACAGGTGAATTCTGTCTAGAGAATTCTGTGAACATTTTCATATGAATTTCAAATAAATTTTGCAAATAACATTTGACAAAGAGAGAAGCACAATATTGCCTTTGAAGAATAAAACCTTACACATTTCCAAAATCACTTTTTCTCAGGTAGAAATAACATAGAAATCACCTTTAACCCCCTTGAATGGAGCGGCCAGGGAGAACAAAATCCACATACTCTGTGCTGCTTCTGTTATTAGTTTGCTTATATAAGCAAAACTGTGAGCTTTCTGTGGGAGTACAAGTCTTGCAAGTCACACGACTGATAAAACAGCATATAGCTTGCACAGCATTTGTAGAACGACAGTTTCTGAATGACAGATTTAATGAGATTAGTAGACTTCTGCCCAGCACAGCACTCCAACTATTTTATTTATCTTCTCTAGATTTTCTTTTGGCAGCACTTACTGAAAAAGCTATTTGCAATTATATGAAGATTGACTAACAAATATCTACCACGTTTCTAAAAAGATACGGAAAGAATAAACTGAACATAAAGATTCCTCCCCAAACATATAATATCTATGAAATGAAGCAATAGCAAACGAATGTGTTTTACACACATAAACACATACACACTTTTAATGACGCTCTCTTAAGCGTACAAAGAATTTTTTGTAGTATTATCAAGACTAATTAGAGTCTTATCCTAAATATTTTACTTCGAGGTATCAACACTGTCATTGTTTCAACCTAGGATTTGATCACAACATCATCAGCAGGTAAACCTTCCCCAAAAGGAAGGACTAGTCTTACTGCCAACAGCAAATGCGAAAGCCAACTCATATTCATAATGACTCGTCTTTTAAAATGTGTTTTGACATGAATGACTCAGCAAAGCTCGGTCACTGCCAACTGATGCAGTGACCCTGGGGGAAACATGATTAACTACAGAGGCAAACAATGACTGGGCAAGTCAAATCCTCCCTCCTTTGATCCAGGTAAGAAAAGCATTACTTTCTGAAACAGAAGGAAAGTTGGTTCTCTTAGCAGTTAATAAAATGTGTTTGGGGACAACAACATAAATGTTGTGCAAGCTACCATGAGAGAAAAAGAACAATGACTCCCTTGGGCTTTCCATTCCAAAGATCTCAACGTATACTTTTATGGTTTTCTCTATCCCAAAACTTAGTTAAAACAAACAAAAAAAGCTTTAGGGAAAAAAAAAAAAAAAGCAAGCAGCCTTTGAGGGTAGGATGATACTAAGAAAGTGCAAAAAAGAATAAACGTTTAACTTCTACACGATTAAGGAAGAAATAAAAAAAAAACTTACTTTTCCTTTTAATAGAGAAATGGATAGGTATGTGTGTTCTCATAATATACTCAATTGTATTTTACTAGTTCATTCACTGGGTGGGTCCCGTCCTTGATTGAGAATGCCAGTCTAGGGATAGGATCTGTGGGAGATGGAGATTTGTGCCCCAAGTAATTAATCTGGCATAGTTAAAATGATAGCTAAGAGCCCAGCAGAGCACTTGAGCTCTAGCTCCACTGATCTCATTAACCAAACTGACAATTTGGCGTTAAGCAGAAATACAGGGCCAAATTCCTCGCCAACCTCTGCCCCCCGCCCCCCAATTTACTCAGGAGCAGGAGAGTGAAGATAAGGCAAGTAAAAAGAATTCAAAGGCAGTTTGAGTGGATACTGTAAGACAACCTATTTTCTACCTCTGGGGAGGTGTTTTGTTTGGTGAGTTCTCCCCCAGAAGACCACTTCAGTTACCCTCAGTTATTCTAGACCTAAGAAGCAAGTCTCTAACTCCTCTTTTTTCTGATTGCTCTCTTCTGATGGTCATTTTTCTTTTTCCTTTTTTTTTTCAGAAATAAACACAATGGCTCCTTTAATGCAATCATCACGATGCAAAACAAACGATTACGAGATTGTTCAAATTCCACTTGCCTTTCTGCAACTTGCTGACTGCTTTCTTTCTAACCTCTTCATCTACGCAGACTCCTTTGAATTATTTCTCAGTCTCTACCTGAGCTTACATCACCCTCAGAATCGGTGCCACTTACACCTTAAATAGGTGTGCAGTTATCTTGTCTCCTTGATAATTAACAAAGACGTTGAGGGCCAATGCCAATTCAGTGGCATTAGTTGGATACCTTCCATTACCTGATATCATTGTTTATGGTCTATTAAGCAGTTTTCATTTCACCTTATGGGCCCATATAAAATCCAAGCTAGCTGTTTCTCAAATTACAGGCAGTATTAAAGAGTATTAAGTAGCTTCTTCTTTTTATATTTTTAAAATAGTCTTTAAATTTATTGCAGATATTCTGATAGTAAATTGGGCAATATATATGTTTTTAGCTTCTCAGTTTTTTTAGTCTTTTACCCACCTCCCCTTAAAGCATACTCATTGTTTAACACTAACGGTAGCTTTCTCATTTTCAAAATAACTTACTTTTTGATTCTTGTTTAAATTTTTTTCTAACCAAATTATCACTGTATTGATTCATTTTTCACTGGGGAATGTAGTTTTCCAAAAGTTCTCTGATCTTGTTCTGCTTTATTTTTCATCGTTCTTACATACAGAACATGCATGTTGACAGCATGCAGAAGTCAGTGGGTCTGAGGGATCATACAGGGAGGCTTGGTGACTCTCAAAATCTATCTTGTTATGCAGGCCTCCGCTGGACAGGCTAATAATGCAGCCACCAGGGCACGGCTGAACACTCAAAGGGCTTCAGCTGTCAAAGGTCTACAGTGTGGGCGCCTGGGTGGCTCAGTCATTAAGCGTCTGCCTTCGGCTCAGGTCATGATCCCAGGGTCCTGGGATCGAGTCCCACATCGGGCTCCCTGCTCGGCGGGAAGCCTGCTTCCCCCTCTCCCACTCCCCTTGCTTGTGTTCCTGCTCTCGCTATGTCTCTCTCTGTCAAATAAATAAATAAAATCTTAAAAAAAAAAAGGTCTACAGTGCGACAGTAGAAAATGTATGGAAGCGTTCACTTACCTGCTTGTGATCAACAATTATTTCGAGGTCTTCATCACTGCTTAGTTTTCCATATCCTTTTTCTTTACTTTTCTTGTGAAAGAATAATTTTAAATGATCATTTAGTTTCTTTCCATTAATAAGGTTAACTCCCACTTAATACTTTTTAAAGATTAAAGTCTTTACTTAGCCTTGTTCACTAGTCATAATACATCATTCTCTATGTCAGTCTCTCACGGACAACAGCAAAATTTTTGTTATTAAATTATGGGCTTATAAGGAACTCATCAAGTATTTCTGCTTAGCCTCTCCCATCCAAATTATACCTTTAATCCTTTTCTGAATATTGTTATGCTTTTTTTCAATTTTGTAGTTTCAAAACAGATTCTTTAATACTTTGAGAGAGATAGACAATTCCCTTAAGAGTCCCAGCCCATTTTTCTTAAAGACTGAAACTGCATTTAGTAATTATAGTATACTTAAGACTTCAACTATTAAATGTTTATTTTAATCCCTTTTATATTTTAAAGAATAAGACAAGCATTATACAACTCAGATAATGAATCTTCAGATTTTCTACATTTGCTTATAAATCCGATGAAAACTAACACTGGAAAAAACAACTCAAATCATTTTTAAAAGATGAGTAAAATAATTTTCAAAATTAGGTAGTTTGAAAAGTTGGAAGAATACAGACCATTTTTAAAAAATGCACTCTACTGACATTTTGTCTCCACCCCCCACCCCCGCCCCATGACCTATCCCCATCTACCTTCCTCATAGCAAAAATTGTAAAGTTAGAAAAGGTCATAGATCATTTTAACCATTTCACTGTTGTGCTACAGGAGAAAGATAATACTTCTGAGTCTTTTTTTTTTTTTCTTTCTCCCAATGTGCTGGCTGATAGGAATGACAGAAATGACAGATTCCTTCTTCATAATTTCAGAAATCATAGTACCTCTGTAGAGGACCAGTAAGAAAAGGAAAATAAAATCCACTACATACTTAGCTGTAGTCCAAGGTTATTATTATTAAAAAAAAAACCAAAAACCAAAAAACAAACACAACCCTTGCTTTAGGTATTAACTACATCAATGAGAATTAAGGGGACTAAGAAATATTTGTTTGCATCTATTATGCCATATTAGGATACCCATCTCATTGAGGGAAGAACTATATCCTTCAGTGAACTTGATGTAAGTCTTCTTTACCCTGTGGGACACAATTCTTGTCTATTTTTTCCCCTTCCTCCCCAATAAACATACCTCCTATTTTTTTAATTTTTTTTCCTGTAATAAAGAGATTTCTGAATCTTCAAGTATTAGGATGCATAAATAAAATCTGAATTCTAATTCATATATTAATGAATTTAGCCACTTAGAACAGAACAGACGTCCGCAGTATTTCTATTATTCTTTTTCTCCTCATTTGAGGTTCCATTTCAGGATTGATGGAAAACAAAAAGAACAGGGTTGGTTTCAATCAAGTTGACTTCCTTCCTATCACTTTGTTTTTGTATCCTCTTAGTCTACGGGTTGCCATAAGATACTGTCCAGAGACCCTCTAATGCAAAACATTTAGAAATGCCTTTCCAAATATTGATCTGTATACGTACCAAGTAGCTCATTTGCATGACCCGATTTCTGGACAAAAGGACATTAAGTAGAGATGGAATGTGGGTCCTTCCATCCATTTCACTGTCAGACATCCCAGAATTCTTTGCACCAGTGGCAGTGGTTTCATTGCCAGAACTTGCTGACCAAAGAACCACAGATCTTGCCCAGCAACAGTATTTATAATGTATGACAATAACCGAGGTATCCCTGAATCATTGTCTTGACTTTGTAAACATTATGAGATTTTTGGCTAGCATAAAAAACCATTGGAAGTAAAATTTCTTCCTTTCTAACTTATTTTTATCCTAGCACTTCTAGGTTCCCTGACTACTGTTCTAGTTTAATGCTGTTGAAAACACCCCATCTATTATTAATTACATACATTTTTATATTTCATCCTACGGATATGAACTATTCAGCCTCTTTGCCATAAAAGCTCTCAATTTTCCCTTTTTAATGCACCACCCCAGAATTTCTTTCTAAGTGATGAAAAATCACTGCTAACTGATATAACAATGTCTGCATTCACCAAACATAATTCAAGACTGCCGTTCTACCACTACCAAATTCCACCTTTCCAATTTAATCCCAACTCCTTATCTGATTTAGGAGTATGTTTTCCTGGGAAGAGGCTAGGTCAGGGAAGGAGATTATAACCACAACTACTCTAAGTAGAAGTTGGCATTTTCCAAGAGTGGGAGGAGGCATTTAGAGCTCTGATTTTGTATTTAAGCCCCAGTCTCCAAACAGCACACAACTGTACACAGAGTCAGAAGCTATATAGTTTTACTCTAGAGTTAAGCAATATTTTCTAGTTCACCCCATAACCCCTGGGGGATTAATCCTTTTCTAAGCCATAATGGTTATTCGCTCACTTACTGCTTATTTCTAGTGCGAGCACAATCCTCTTTCAAGCACTCAGCTTCCCACTTTGACTGCTTAGCTCAGCCAGCCCAGGCAGAGATCTTCAGCTCTCCTCCCTCCTCCCAGCCAGGAATCCCTGTCTTCTATCTATGCACTTTTGTCAAGCACAGAAAGCAACTCCATAGCTCCTGCGTGGTCTTTCCCATTAGCCAAAGGACTGAACTAGAAGGAGAGAGAAAGCTAACCTCTCCACTGTCCAAGCGTGAAGGAGGCAGGGCTTCTGTGGGAGGAGAAGCGAGATGGTAGTCACTTCCTGTGCCCCTCCCACCTCCCCTGGCCGACAGTGGAGCTGAGGATTTCAACTGAGGCCGTAAGGTCAGGCCCTCCCCACCTCAGCCTTAGCATGCTGCCTGCTGATAGTCGATTATGCGCACTGCTCACCTGTGTGCCGCTGAGAAGAACATTGATGCAGTGGAGCTAAAATGGTGAGCACTTGGAAGTGGGAGAAGCGAGGAAAGAGAGAAAGAAAACAGTTCTTTGCCGCGAATACCTCACTCCTTATAAGAAGCTTTCAGCTCAGAAGTGTCCAATGCCAAACCTCAAATACAGCATCTTCCATCTTCCCCACAGCATTCTGAATCCGTTCTGAGTAACTGCAAGGAGACCTCTCTAGTTCTTTGTTAGTGCTGATACAACTTTTTTTTTAATACCACTGAATCAGACCTATAGTTTTCTTAAGAATAGTGAGTCTAACTGGTAACCTTTCCTCTCTGCAGACATTCCACCATCTTTCCTCAGCCTTATTTACCTCCCACTTCACCCCTTCATTCTCTCCTCCACAAAAGTAGAACAGTGAGGTGGGTTTACTCACTTGAATTAAACAAACCATAAAAATTAGACACTGTATAGGAAAACAATACATTGCCATAGATTTGGAATGCATTATATAAGAAAATTTTGTGAGTAAGTAACAACAAAACAAAATAACAGAAAACAAAACAAGACAAAAAAATCTGATGAGATAAGGACCTGAAAAATGAAGCCCCCTATGTTCATTTTAGAATAGGAGTTTATTAAAAAGTAAGAGTTTGAGGGCGCCTGGGTGGCTCAGTTGGTTAAGTGACTGCCTTCGGCTCAGGTCATGATCCTGGAGTCCCAGGATCGAATCCCGCATCGGGCTCCCTGCTCAGCAGGGAGTCTGCTTCTCCCTCTGACCCTCTTCCCTCTCATGCTCTCTGTCTCTCATTCTCTCTGTCTCAAATAAATAAATAAAATCTTTAAAAAAAAAAAAAGTAAGAGTTTGAATTGAGAGACACTAGTTGTATATAGGTCAAATTAAACAGATTCTTCATACTTATTAGGAATGGAAAATATGAAGGAAATTTTGAAAAGGAAAAGAAACACATTATTTAGTTAATTGCACAAAATAGCCTCAGGTGCAATTTTTGCCTAACTACAGAATAATAATGTAAATAAATGTAGAGGTTAAAGATTATGTATAAAAATGCAAACTGGTGCAGCCACTGTGGAAAATAGTATGGAGGTTCCTCAAAAAGTTAAAAATAGAACTACCCTATGATCCAGCAATTGCACTACTAGGTATTTACCCAAAGAATACAAAAATACTGATTCAAAGTGCTATATACACCCTGAGATTTATAGCAGCATTATCAACAATAGCTAAATTTTGGACAGCCCAAATGTCCATCAGCTGTTGAATGGATAGAGAAGATGTGGTATATATATACACAATGGAATATTATTCAGTCATAAAAAGGAATGAAATCTTGCCATTTGCAATGATGTGGATGGAGCTAGAGAATATTTTGCCGAGTGAAATAAGTCAGAGAAAGACAAATACCATGCGATTTCACTCACATGTGGAATTTAAGAAACAAAACAAATGAGCATGGGGAAGAAAAAGAGAGAGAGACAAACCAAGAAACAGACTCTTAACTATAGAGAACAAACTGATGGTTACCAGAGGGGAAGGGGGTAGGGGACGGGTTAATAGGTGATGGGATTAAGGAGTGCACTTGTGATGAGCACCAGATGCTGTATGGAAGTGCTGAATCACTAAATTATACACCTGAAACTAATATTATTACACTGTATGTTAACTAACTGGAATTTAAATAAAAACCAAAAAAATTATTTATTTAATGATAAATAGTAGACCTGAATTTAGTAAAACAAATATTACACAAAGAATATATATATATAACAGAGACAAAAGAAACAAAGACTTCCCAACTCTTTTTTTTGTGGTTGTCAGTATTCAATTTCTATCTTCTTATCTTCCCTATCTTCCACCCTGTCTTCTCCACCACCTTCTTCCCCCAGCCTGCAAAATTGCTTATTTTTCCTTGTTCTAAAAGATGACTTCCTCACATCTCCTTTCCCCTAAAGACATTCATTTAATTTCTCTTATCTCTTCACTGTCAAACTTGAAAGAGTGGTCCATGCTCACTAGCAACAGCTCCTTCCTTTCTCTTCATTTTTAAGGCAATTACAATCAGTTTGCAAGTTACTCTAATTGTATTCACAGTCACCAATGGACTTCTAGTTATCAGATTCTCTAGCAGTCCGTTTTTAGAGGTAATAGTATGAATTAGCCCCCGAAGTAATTTGTGATTGACTACAGATGTCAAGATGAATGTAAATATTACATCTTTCAGTCATCAAGTATGCATTATTTTAAAAGCCCTCTGCTGTTATTTACACTACTACAGCTATTAAATGGTGTTGCCACCAACTGAATAGGGTCTCGATGAGAGGGAGGGGAATTGGGAAAAGAGATGATGTGCTGAAAAGATAATGTGCTGAGTTTGTGGTGTCTTTGGAAAGTTCATCTGTGTGGAAAGATCCAGCTGGTCATTTGATTATATAGGTCTGTATCTCAGAAGAGAGAGAAGGGCAGGACATATAGATTTCTGGGGATAACTAAAATTGCAGGAGTGGATGAGCTCATTAAAAAAGAAAACAAAAGAGATAAGGACTAAGGCCAGCATCCTGGAGAATCGTTACTTTTAAAGAATGGGCCAAAGAAAAGAACCCAGTGAAGGAGGCTGAAGAGGAGTGGTCGTACGTGTAAGAGGGGAACCAGGAGGACGCAGTCAAAGAAAAAAAGAGCTCTAGACAGTGTCAAGTGCTGATGAAAGGTTAAGTAAGGAGGCACCCTGCAAACTTCCATTGTGTTGGGCATGCTGGCAGCCATCAAGGATCTTAGGAAGAGAATTCCTGGAACCAAAATTAGAGTAACTTCGTGACTACACTGGTCATAAGGGAGTAAAGATATTGAGAAAGGACTTCTTTTCCCTTACAAAAGCCTGAATGAAAAGAGAAAGAGGGAAAAATAAGTATTAAGATGGTAGATCTCCTGCTAAGCGTTCTCCCACAGTTTAAAAAAGCGTTCTCCCACAGGTGGGAGGGAAGTGAGAGTGGGATGAGAAAAAACAGACGGGAAGAATACTGGGAAAATTGTAGTTTCCCGCCTTCCTTGTGTAAAGGTCTTGAGTACATTTATAGTTCAAGAGGCAACTAGTGAAGAAAGCGAAACTGGAGATGCCAAAGAATGAGGGGGTAGAATTCATTAGGCAAGAAAGTGAGAACAAAGGCCTTTTGGAGAAAAACTGCATGCTTCTCTTTGAAAATTTACAATTATATGACATATGTTTTTAGAAGAAAAATCTGTAAGGATACGTACCCAATGTTAAAAGTCCTTTTCTCTGGGAAATGGAATTATGCATGATCTATGTGTTCTCTTTAAACTTGGGAGTACTCTTTGAAATAAGAATGAATTTCTTTCATAATAAAAAAGAAAATAAACGAAGTGTGATTGCTTGAGAGATCCATAAAATTGCCATAGAAAAGACTCATATAAGTCTCCTTTGCAGAAAAACGACTGGGTCAGGGCTTTACCCTTCCTTTATTATGTTTCTGGAGGAATAAAAACTTGTTTTTAAAAAAATGTGGAGATTCATGCTACTACAGTTATTGCTTCTGTCCCTTGCGGCAAGCGTGTTAGTACGGAGAAGTGAATGTTTTGTTTATTGCACTTAATATGCCTCTTTCCTCTTGACTCGCCTTTATAATATTAAGCTTCTCAGTTCGTTGACATCATGTGGGTCCCATGTCCCCCTTTTTTTTTCTTTTTAAAGATCCACAGTGGGGCGCCTGGGTGGCTCAGTCGTTAAGCATCTGCCTTCGGCTCAGGTCATGATCCCAGGGTCCTGGGATCGAGCCCCGCATCGGGCTCCCTGCTC